ACAATTAAAAGGAAGGGAGACCATGTTTGAAATGCTTGAATAGAACAGAATAGAATAGAACAGAATGGAATATTTTCAGTTGGAAGGGACCTGCGATGATCACTTAGTCCAGCTGCGTGACCACTTCAGGGTTGACTAGAAGTTAAGGCATGTGGTTAAGACCATTGTCCAAATGCCTCTTAAACACTGAAAGGCCTGGAGCATCAACTACCTCACTAGGAAGCCTCTTTTAGTGTTTGACTGCCCTCTTAGTAAAGAAATGTTTCCCACTGTCCAGACTAAGCCTCCCTGGCACAGATTTGACCTATTCTCATGCATCCTGTCACTGGACACCTGGGAAAAGAGACCAGACCCTCTTCATTTCCCCTCCTTGGGAAGCTGTAGAGAGCAATGAGACAGCATCTCAGCCTCCTCTTCTCTGAAACAAGCCCAAAGCCCTCAGCTGCTCCTTACAAGATGTGCCCTCCAGCCTTTTCATCAGCCTTGTTGTCCTCCTCTGGATGTATTCAAGGATCTTCACATCCTTCTCAAATTGTGGGGCTCAGGATGGCCCACAGTGCTCAAGGTGAGATAACAACACGAAGTAAAATGGGATAATCCCCTCTTCTGCCCAGCTGATCATGACATGTTTGATGCACCCCAGGATGCAGTTGGCTTCTACGGTCTGGTCTGCCAGGGCCCACTGCTGGCTTGTGTCAAGCTTGCTGCTGACCAGCACCCTCAGGTCCCTTCCTGTGGGGCTGCTTTCTAGCAACTCCTCTCTGAATTTATAGTGTCCAGCATTACGTTGTCCTAGTTGCAGAATCTTGCATTTATTCTTGTTAAACTTTATCCCTTTAACAACTGCCCAATGCTGAAATCTATTGAGATCCCTTTTGATAAGCCAAAGTTTTATTAAGATTTTATTGCCTTTCAAAGACGGAAACATACCAAAAGGGGATGTTATAATGAGGGTATAAACCTTACACTTCCTCAAATTGTTTTGTTTGTGATTAGCAAATTTGAAATCATTCTTAAAGGCACTAAAAAGATAGAAAATGACACTGATTTAGGAATAAATTTAGGAACATGGTTTTCAATAAGGAGATGTTTGAAAAGTCTGATATGAATTAACAGTTTCTGCTAGTTAGTTGATGGCATATAAAACCTTTTCTTGCTTTACTGCCTCTCTTACTGCCTCTCTCTCTACACCACCCTATCCTATTACAGTCCATGATACCATCTTGTGTGCTATGCCAAGATATGGGAGCTAAAAATGAGGCTTTCTGCCAAATAAGAGATTTGCATCATGCTAAATATTAGAGTTCTAATGGTTTAAGAAGGTTTTTATTAGCTATTAGGGAAGAAGACCGTGAAGGAGGAAGAGCAAAAAGTATTAAAGTGTTACAAAGTGAATTTCAGGAAGAGTATTTAGGTTTTTTAAATAATTAGTTGGAGAAAAAAACCCAAAGAAAAGAAATAGATCCACAAATCTAAGTGGCCACTCAATTTTACATAAGGTATTCAAGAAACTTAAAATATGTATATTTATATATACAACTATATACTTATATATAATTGTTTTGCCTATCAACATCTAAAGAAAAATTGTATTTATTATTGGTTTTATTTTTATTTTCTAGTGGCTTATTTTACTAGAAACATGAAAAATTGAACACTTGTATAAGGAGTTGAGTTTTAGACCTTGTCTTAACTTGACCATAATTAGAAAAGACTTATGGCACCTTATTTTATCTTTGACTACAAATATAAAGGTAAGATCCTAAGCCTTTCCTGCTAATATTCTTCATTCTCCCTATTTTAAGTCCATAGCCCACATCAGCATCATTCTCTCTTAAGCAGCCTCTTAAGCCAAGAGTTTTGATTATTGCTTTTCTCTTATGATGGCTAATAGACAAACACGATTTTTTCACCTCGAGATGGAAACACTACTATATTTGTGATAGTTTCCATGTCTATAGTTTCAACCACCTTATAAAGTGAAGGTAGGGCATATGACCAAGCGTCCTTCTCTTCTCAATATTTGGTAAAAGGAAAATGAGCATTTATGACAAGTCAAGGTGAATGATCTGTGACCCAAATGGGATTTTTTTGTTCTTTTCCTTCTATTTTTGAGCTTCATTTATTTTGCTTACATGATATGTAAATATACAGTTTAGCCATTGATAAACAGGGTGTAGTGTCTGTTTATATAGGAAAGTATATTTATCTAAGTACTCTTTCTTTTTTCTAATGTTCAAAAAAACATCCATTCTAATGTGTGCTGAAATATATGTTGGTTTTAATATACCTAAAAATGTTCCTGAATGGGACATATGTACCTGAGGGGAACAGAAAGTCTCTAAAGTCTCTGGGGTAGCAGTTGTGACCACTTTGGCATATTTCTTTTTCTCGTTCTTATTCTGCCAGGCCTCTCTTAGTGTATGTGAATCATTAGACAGTAGCCAGCAAGGTTAGAAGTGCATATATATATTTATTTAGGAAGCTGAATTTTAAGAGATTCCTTGCTCTTAATAGCTGATGCTTTCCTTGTGCTGTCACTCCAGTTTAGGTTTCACAGTAGATATCGTCTTGGCACTTGCAATCTTGATGGGCAGGCTATGTGCTCTCCTTTTCCTCTTCTGTTCATGTGCCTTCAACCTATTGGGCTGTGGAAGGAAAAGAGGTAATGAGAGGGAAATCCTTACCTGCAGTGCTGCAGTTACCCCTTCCTCCAGACATCGCCACTGCCTCTTCCTTTTTGTCTCCCTGCACGTACTCGTGCTGGTCCATGATGTACTGGCTGGTGTTGTGGGGTGTGCACATCCCTGGTGGGCGGTGTCCTGCCATGTTCATGGGGCGGAGGCGCGCTCTTGCCTCTCGCCAGGTTGCTGCTGGCACACGCAAGGTTGGGACCCAGCAGCGCTTCTTCGCATTCCAGAACAGGACTCCCTTTTGACCACTGCTGCTCTGCCCACCCGCCTGGTCTTGATGGCTGGGCTCGGTGCATTGTAGTTGTTGTTGCTGTTTCCAATTCCTCCTCCGGCTGTGACTCCACCAGTGTGCCTTCCCAGGCCGCTTCCACTGTGGCCTATGCACAGGACCCCTGTGCTGGCCACCCTGGCTCCCACAGCCATTTGAGGAAGATGCACAGGGGTCCTGCTCCATGAGGTCCTTCTCTCTCTCCTGTTGCCCTTGTTCATTGTCTCTGTTAATGTGCATTCTGCCCCTGAGCTTCCATTGCTCCTGTCGTCTTGTGCCCCTGCCAGCCCTGTTGCTACACAGGAGCATGATTAGCATGTCGTCTGCCTGCACTTGCTGCCACTGTCTTTGCCTCTTGCCCCTGCCCTCACCTCGCCATGCCTTCTTGTGCTGCCCAGGAGTGACAGCAGCCAGTGGCATGGCACTTCTGGGGGGACTGTGCTGGGGGTAGTCTTCCCTTCGGCTGAGGCCTGGCCCTGCAGCACTGGCAGTGCCTCTGGCTCCATATGGAGTGTTTAGCTTGGAGGCTTGTGAGGGAGCCTTGTATCTTGCCCTCCCCATACTGACACCCTGCTGTCCCAGAGAGGCTCTTCTCATGGGGACAGAGTGACAGATTGCCTTCCCACCCTGCCTGGAGGAGCCAGTGGCCCGTGGCAGCAACATGGCGGTGTAACAAGGACACCAGCTATCGGTCAACAGGGGGCTCCCTCCCAGGTGGGGCCCTGCAGGCCCTAGGCCAGGCCTCGCTTTAACGAATGCCGGACCTGATTCCTGCTTCCCTCAGAACACCTTGTGAGAGGGAGGGAAAGTTGTCCTGGACACCTGGCAGAGAAGGATGTAGAGGGACTAAGTAGCTGTCACAAACTGGCACAGAAAGTCAGCACCTTCAAAAAGCCTTTGCTGCTCTCCTGACTCAAAATCTTGAATTCAGCCCTTTATGTCAACTGTTGAAATGAATTCCTGCCTTTTTAGTGTGGAAGGTGGAAAGATAGATAGCAGGCCTATCTCAGAATTAATTTTCTATACATAGTATATTTACATAACACCAGATGTTATTTGTAGCATCCCTCTTGTTGGCTTTTTGTAGTACAGAATAAAAACTAATAAATTACAGAATCATAGAGTGGTTTAGGTTGGAAGGGACCTTAAAGATCACGTAGTTCCAATCCTACTGTAGGAACACCTTCCCCTAGACCAGGTTGCTCAAAAGGCCCACCAAAACTGGCCTTGAACACTTCCAGGGATGGGAATAAATAAATAAATAAATTTGTCTTCTGTGATGAGATAAAAGGCTTTATAGAAGACAGCTAGGTTGAAGGGTTCAAGACAAGCGTGTCCTCATTCTGACCACACAAATAAGGGTGGGAGTTTTGTGGCTGTGCTTGTCTCTGGAAGTTTCCACAGCCTGTATAACTGGGAATGTGGGTGTTTATTGTTTAGGCTCCCTCTCCATACACTGATACTGTCAGATCAGGCTTATCATTTCATAGTAAATGATGCATATCCACAATTAGACCAGAATCTCTGTCTCTCTTTTGCTGAGAGATATCATTGAGAACTCTGAATTTTCATACTTGATGATTAGAGCATCTTTATAGTATCATGACCTGAGACATAAATTGTACTGATGGCATTTATAGTCTACTTATTTAAATACAAAAGGACAAAAAAAGTAGAATATTTTAAAAAAGAAAAATTTTTTAAAATTTTCTATGCTGATTAAAAAAAAAAAAAAGAACAAAACAAACAAAAAAGCAGAAGCAAACCCAAATCCAAACAAACAATTCTCCCCCCCAACCAAAACCAAAAAAATCAACATGATGTTCCCTTGGTTTTATCTTGAAAGAGTTTTCCATTCCTTCAGCTTTCATTAGAGAGAAAGGGAAAAAAAAATTGCATAGGATTAAGTTTAACAAACAAATAAAAACAAGTCACATATATCCTTAGTGTTGGGCTTTGGTATGATACCAGGTGTCACTATTTATCAACACACGATGGCAGTAGTGGTCCATAAAATGATTAACTGAGGCTGTACATTAGTAAGGAGTCTTTCTGCTGTGCCTTTTGCAGCCGGATGTGCCTATCTCGTGTTGGCCTTTTTAACCACCAGCGCGCTTGTAACAAACGTGGGTAGAGCCCTCCCCAAATCTTCGTTCATGAAGCCTAGCCATGATGATGATGATGATGATGTTAGTAAAACAACATCTGTCCTAGGCCTTTTTTTCTAGAGACAACTACATTTAATTGTGTACACAAATTTTATTTTTATTTCTTTATTTATCAGGTAATAGTTAAACGTTAATATATAAAATTATTTAATTTTAGAAGTCATCCATAATTCAGCATAAAAATTGGCATTTACATTGTTTTTGTAGTAAAATATTTGTCTTGATATTGCTAAATAACTTGCAGTTGGGTAAATAATGGATTTGTCTTCTTGCATTTAATAATCTTCTTTGTATCATAATAATTAATTTAAATATTAACAGAAATATTTCCCAAATTAATGAGATTTGAAAAAATCATCTTGGTTTAGCAGCAAGTTAATGATTTGTCTTTTGAGATTCTGATAGCATATGACAGTATAGGCTGCTGTCAAAGCTCAGATGAGGTTACCAACTGGCAAACGGGGTAGACACGTATATGCATAAGGTGTTTTGCTCAAGTTGATGGGATTACCATCCAGTCTGATGTCTTCAAGAGCCTTACGTACATAAGTAAAATCTCTCATTTTGCAGAAAGTATCTTCATGCATCTCTTGAATATTGTTGTTCTAAAAGAAAAAAAAAAAGAAGCTATCAAAATAGTTACCTGAAAGTAATTTTTAACTCTTTGAAGAACCATTTATGGATGTATTTTTGGTGCCTAGAGAGATACTTATTTGAACTCAATGACCCAGATTGTGGTGGCAAGTCATCAACAAAGAAATCTTCCAAGTGGGGAAAATTTCTTGGCCAATGCAAAGCTTCAAAACTAGGTAACTCATACCAGGCTTTGCAGGAGAGGCCTGGTAGAAGTATAAGGATTTTCCTTTCTAGATTATATTGAAGAGACTTATTAAGACAAATTGGAACCAGCATAAGCCAGTCCAAAAATCACAGAAACGGAATTATCATCCTGATGCGTGATGTGCCTGCAAAGGCACAAATTAGAAATTTGATCTGTGACAAATTTCTTTCCTGCAGGCCCTCTCACATTAGTTTACTTCATATCTGTATATATACTGGGAAAATTGAATGCTTTAGGTTTTATTCTTTTGATTTAAATTCCTCTCATATGCCTTACATTCACTGATCTTTTGTTCTTGAAGAGAACTATTTTCAACAATGAATTGCTAGAATACAATATTATCAGGAAATTGGGCCTAAAAGGTTCATCTCCAAAAATAAGGGCTGTCTGAAAGTTCTTCTCCTCTTCATTCCTTTGCTAGCCAGAAATTAGTGTGGAAAAAGTACAGCTCACTAACTTTTTTCTGTAGCACATATCACTGAATATTTAATTTACAGGCACAAACAGGTGAAAAAAAAGATCAGCTAACAGGCAGAGAGTTTCTATAGATTTACTTATTGAAAAAGATAGGGTTTAAATTATATGTGGTGTATTAGTTTCCTTATTAAAAAGGGTTTTTTCTGTATTATGTAACATCTGATAATCCAAACTGTGCATTGATACAATAGGAGATAAAGGGAAAGAAGCAGAGCTGGAAAAGGTAAAAAGGAAGAATTCAGAAAGAAAGTCTTAGATAAAAGAATTGGAGAAGGGTGATGGATGGGATCTTCCAACATAGTCAAATGAAAACATTTGGCTGAAAATGTTAACTGGGAATTACCTTTATTAAGAATGAAATGCACTGAGTATAGATACAATAAATATGTAAAATTACTTCCTCTGTGTGTCTGAAAGTATGCCCTTTGGAAGATTTGTATAAGCAGTGTGAGGGATTTCTGTCATTGAAGTCTCTTAGACTAATGATGGTCTTGGCAGCTATGAACATAAGTTTGACTTGTACTAATAATAAGTCTAGAATTTAATGTTTGAAAAATATTGTATTACAAATTCTAAAAATTAATGCTTAGCTGAGCTAAATTTTACTTGTTTGAAAGACCGCATTCACTAATTAATTTTATGTTTTCCATATCTTGTTTAGTTAAGTAAGAACACTTCTGGATAAACAGAAGAAACAGTACATAGCAATAATTGCCTTTCCAGTTTCACTATTTGAGCCACTACTTTTGTAGCCTACCTGAAGATGAAGAGCTTGGAGGCTTTCAGGGAGCGGCAAGGGAATATGATCCAAGTTATTGTCAGTGATGTAAAGATGCTGCAGTTCATTCAGATCCTAGAGGATGAAGGAAAAAGGTAGGGGGAAATGACAGACATATTTGAAAATCTCTAGCAACTAAGTTTGAAATCTATCACTGCAATGAATATGGCTGAATAGTAACACATTTTGTTTTAACATGATACGGGTGAAACAGCATAAATTCAAAGATAGTAATGAATTTAATTTGCACATGCTGAGAATGTTTCTGTTAAGAATTGTGTGTCTGGATTAAAATGAAGGGGGAAAATGTTTTTGAAATATCTATAGAAAATTATTAGAAATGTAATTTCAATGATTACGTTTTGAAGAGATAATACTGCCTTTTATGGTCATTATATAGAAGGGCTTCTTGTTCTGTCTGCTTACTCAATTTTGCAGAAGTGTTTTGGTGTTGAAGCAAACAAAAACTGCAAAAGAAATTCCTGAGCTAAAAATACATTTCTCATTCCATTTCAAAAGGTAAATAATATTCTCCCTTGACTTAGTGGATTACCAAGTGGCAGGCACCATAGCTAGGCTGCTCACAATCATCTTTAAAAGGTCTTTGAAAGGAGAGGTGCCTGAGGACTGGAGGTAAGCCAGTGCTACCCTCATCTTCAAAAAGGGCAAGAAGGATAATCTGGAGAATTACCAGCCAATCAACCTCATCTCAAGCCCTGGAGACGTGATGGACCACTTCATTCTAGAGGCCATCTCTATCCACGTGGATGATGAGAAGGTGATCAGGAGTAGTCAGCATGGATTCCCTAAAGGTAAATCATGCTTAACCAACCTGATTGCCTTCTAAAATGAAACAACTACCAGGATAGATGAGGGGAGAGCACTGGATAATGTATACCTTGACTTCAGTAAGGCTTTCGACGTCTCTCACAACAGACCCATAGGCAAACTTAGGAAGTACAGACTGGATGAGTGAATAGGGAGGTGGATTGATAACTGACTGAATGGCAGATCTTAAAGGGTCATAATCAATAGCATAGGGTCTAGTGGAAGGCCTGTCTAACTTATTCATCAATGACTTGGATGGAGGAGCAGATGCCTTCTCAGCAAGTTCATTGACAACAAAAATCTGGAAAGGGTGACCATCACCCCAGAGTGCTGTGCAGTCATTCAAAAGGACCTCAACAGGCTGGAGAGATGGGCAGAGAGGAACCACTTGCAAAGGCAAGTGCAAGCTCCTGTACGTGGTGAAGAATAACCCCACACACCAGCACAGGTTGGGGGACAACTTGCTGGAAAGCAGCTCTGTGAAAAAGGAACTGGGGGTCCTGGTGGACAACAAGCTGTCCATGAGCCAACAGTGTGCCCCTGTGGCCAAGCAGGGCAATGGTATTGTTGGGTACATGAGGAAAAGCATTGCAAACAGGTCAAAGGAGGTCATCCTGCCCCTCTACTCAGCCCTAGTGTGGCCACATCTGGAGTGCTACATCCAGTTCTGGGCTCCTCAGTACCAGAGAGACATGGAGCTTCTGGAGCGGGTCCAGTGGAGTGTTACAAAGATGATTAAGAGACTGGAGCATCACTCTTATGAGGACAGGCTGCTCTTCTGACCACATCCTGGAGACAGGAAAAAAAGATTTTCCCTTTCAATCCAGACTTACTTTAAATGCCTCATTACGTATTCCTTTGTGACCAAGCCTGTTCTTACTAACATCAAGGAATGTTAAGGTAGATGGTAACTCAGGGAGTTGCCTTATCCTGTTGTCACGGAGCACCAGCTCCTGAAGTTGGAGCAATCTTCGGAAGGCATCCTTGTGAATATCCGATATAAAGTTTGCAGTCAAATCAATTCTTTTTAAGTTGTCTGGCAGAGAAATAAGATACAAGAAGCATGTAAGAATGTATTTCCTGAAATTTCAGAAAAAGAAAAAAGCAAATGGGTCATTTAAATTACATGTGAAGTGTCTTGAATCATATTCGTTCCTGGCCCACTATGTGACAGTGTTCTCACTATATAATGCAATAATACATATTTGAACAGTTCTCCTAAGGAGGGTAACCTGTGTCTCCTTCTCATCTTGTTTCGAACTTCCTGTGCATACTTTATATATTTTGCAGTGAAAGACTTCAAAGTTAACAGTTTCAAGGTTTCTGTGTGCTCTGGAAATCTTTTAAATTACTATATTTTGAAAAAAATAACACTTAAGGAGAAATAAACATATTCCCTACTGCCTTGTTCCACATTTCTTTATTTTAACATTTTCCTATATGTACGATATTTGTGCACTCAAGCATTTTTCTAATTAAAAAAAACCCAAACAAAATTAAATTGAACATTTGGGCTTTTTTTCCTACCTATCTAAAGATGATTGTAGTAACAACTGATGACCATTGCTATTTCTAAAAATTCAAAAATTTGACAGAGAATCTGTGTCTAAAGTATTGACCTTTGTGCTCCAAAGTGGCAAACTGCTTTTCTGTGTGTGCATTTGTGTGTAAAATTCTACCATCATCAAACATTATAGAAAACCTATCACTGTGTTTTAGATTAGCATAAGCCAGAAATAATAGAAATTAAAGCTAGTTGCAACAATACTACTGTCCATACTTAAGTTAGCAAAGTCATTTCTGCTGATCTTCCTGATTCTGTTGTAGCGTGAATAGAAATATGTGGTTTTCTTAGGCAATGGTGGAACAGCATCAAGCTCACGATCATCACAGTAGACTGTAGTTCCTAAGCATGTACACAAAAGGCAAGTGGGAAGACCTGTGAAGGAATTTGAAAGAAAACAGCTTGTTAGAAAGGAAATGTACAAAAATGATATGTAAATTACTGCAATGAAATGCTCACCTAAGCACATAACAATTAGATTTTGTCTATAGTAAAGTTCACTCCCTTTACGTTTTGATCATAATTGCAAGATCATATAATTGCAAGAAGGAAGTGATTAAATTCTTAAAATTTATTTTTATGATTATGCCTAGAAGAAAAATTAACTTGTTCTAATCCAGTGTTTCTCAGACTATAACCATAGAATGTTTGGTGACAGCAACCAGCCAAAGGTCAGTTTCCCCCTAAGATGGCAAGTGTGTACTTCCCTCTAGACAGAGGACTCAGAGCTAACAAGTGAAACTTGTTACGATTCCTGTTTTGTTCTCTAAATAGCACTTCTGAATATTTTATAGGGAAATTAGTATTTTTCCTGCAGAGCTATAGAGAAGAACCTCAGTTTCCTTTGCATGTTGTTTAATTATGTTTTCTGATTCAGAAATTTTCAGTCATGAAATATCTCTCTATCAGTCTGAGTTAAGGGAACTTGGAGACCCTGTTAACAAAATATTTGGTTACCACCACGAGTTTGTGAAAATGAAAAATGGAGCCATTTCATCTCAGTCACAACACTGCATGAATACTATGAATTCAGAAGTTTCTTTTGATGGTATTATTCAAATTTTGTGAGACCTGTGAGACTCAGTTTTTGATACATCTTTTCTTTGATTATGGTTATAAAACAGCATATCTGTTTATCAGCTTTTAATCCCATAGAAATACTTTTCTGTTTCATGTTTTCCTCCTCCTTGTAGCAGATGGCTGGTTTTTTTTTGGTGTTTACTTACAGAATAGTAGCATAATTCATGAGTATGAAAATGTTTCTCTTCCGTATTAGTTTTTTCTCTGGATCAGTTGTGGCTACATGACAGATGTGCCTTCTTAATCCATATTGATTACCAATAGCTGTTTGAGGTGCCTCTTCAGGCAAGATTAAAGAATGAATAACCAGAGTACTCTTTTATTTGAGAATCTCTACTTGGACATCCAGGAATAACATTTATGGAGAGATAAGACTCTTTTCATGCTTTCCCTAACTTTCTCCACAGGACAGCTTACATTGGCTACAAGGAGCAAGCCTGACACAGGGAAAAAAAATAAATTATCACATGTTGAAATATTCCAGCAAATCTCTGCCTAAATGAATGTAGAATTAAGGATGGTTGACATTTTTTCATAATATTGTAACATAGTACAGGAAAAGGGTTTCCTCTTCTGTCCTATTTTTGATCTTGGAGGAGTGGTATTTGTCACCTATGGATGGTGCAACTGAAAAAGAACAGAAGTAGGGGAAGGATTCAAAAAGACATCAAAAAGAAAAATGAACTTGGCTTGGTGTTCCTGAGCCTTGTAGTCTTCTATTCAGTATTAGGCCAATAACAGCAACAACATCTGACAGGAAAATATGTTGCTGAAAAAAAAGAAAGACACAAAAGCAATCTGTTTTGACATGTTACAGCCTTGAGCCTCCCATGTGTGTCTTCAGTTAAAACACTAGCTGGTTTGCATCCAGTGCTTGAAAATGTTGACACATACAGAATTCATCCTATATAATATTTACATGACATTTTGTAACATCCTGTAGTTTTCAAAATTGAAAAAAAAAAAAAAGGGGCCTTTTTTTTTTATTTTTCTGAAATCTCCTGGGAAATTCTCATTCCATTTTTATTTGTTTTGACCTCACTGAATTTTTTGCCTGTTCAAGGCTTACTTGTAATATGTATAAAAATAAGACTATGAATTATTAAATCCACTGAACACACAATTTTGGAAATATGATCTCTGGGGTTTTGGTTTGGGGTTTTTTTGCAGTTTGTTTGTCTGTTTGTTTTAAAATTTCATTTTTCTTCTATTGCACTCAGCTGCAGTGTTAGGTATAGTAAAAAGTGGGATTTTCCTGTCTTTGTATGTTGATCACCACACAACACAAAAATCCATCATAGCAATGGACAACTTAGTGGGCTTCAGCTACAAGAGTTTAGAGGACCTTCTGACAAATGCCAGTTATTAGCATTGCAAAGTTTGTGTGGGAGAAGGACAGATTATGTTTTGGAATTTTAATTCCCCTGAAAGATGTATGAGGTTCTTATTTTATTATACATAGTCAGAAGAAATGAAAATCATTTTCACCCCAAATTTCTAAATAGTTCCCTTCCTTAAGTTTAACAGTTTCTAGTTTTTACAGTAAAAAATTCTTCAACATTTTAATTAAACATTGTATGACCATATTTATAAAAAACATGTAAAAATCATCATAAAACAAAGATAGTTGATAATGACATTGAAATCTAAGACAGAAAACCAAGTACAGGTAGAATTTGCTAACCATCAGCAAATTTTTAAGTTGTAAATTCTCATTGAGACAGTTGTTTTCATAGTGAAATAGTATGGAAACGTTTTGACTAGGCACTATAAGACTTAGAGCATTCAAGATAGGCATGTTATATCTTTCTTCAGTAAGAGAAGTACAGAAATTATGAACTTCCTCTTCAGTAAAAAAGGTAGACATTCATAAGCAAATAAAGTGTGTTTACTCAAAATCAAAGCTACAAACAAAAACTCATTGCTCTTTCTTACTAACCATCTTGAGTTTGGAGTCCAAGAACCCCAGATCCCTGTGCTGAAGACCCATCAATTAATTTTGGTGTTGATGCTTCGTCCTCAGTTTCTTCAGTCAATGGAGCAGAAGAATAAATCTCTTGAATTATAGAAGGTAGTGCTGTCCCAATCTTGGCCTAGAAAAAATGAAGAGAAAATGTTAGTATTTACTTCCACTGGCAACTGTTTCTCTTCCGGTTATCCATATTCTCCATTAGAGGTCACATATTTTCTGAGATTTAGTGCTTGAGCAGCATTTTATTCAGCAGCTTTAATGAATTCTGATTATGTATAAACAATTCATGAAAATCCAACATACTTATTTACTTTTTAGCTCAGTGTTTGGAATGCTTATTTTATGCACATACGCATATACTTCATTAGTGTGAATATAGTGAAAATATATACTAACAAAATTATTTTTCCACACTTAAAGACAAATTAGATTTGTGATAAAAATTGATATATTTTATGTGACAAATGAAAATTTGCTGTGAAACATCAAAAAGATGCAAGTCATTTATCATAAAATTGTAAATTGTACCAGCATAAATCTAAATCTGATATAGCTGCGCAGGCTCTCTTTTAATAACACTAACATGCTTTAAAAATCTTATTATTGAAGATTTTTCCACTCTGACTTCTCATGTTACTTTTAATATGTTGGCAGTGGTTTTTTCACTTTTTTTTTCTAAATCTGAATACCTAAAGGCTCCAACTAGTTTCAGTCATCATTAGCTGTATTATGTGGTATGAAAAATTAAATATATATAAAAATATTAGATAAAATCTTAATTTAAAAAAACCTACAAAAGTTGTAAGATCCTTGCATGGAACTACAAATCTTTTTATTTTGTCCTGAATTCAAAATAATTAGTTAAACCAGTAAATTTTGTCATTCTGTTGACTTTCTTATGTGAAAAATTCAGGATAAAAATTAAGATGTAACAATTTTCTTGCATCACATCACTGCTCATAAAAAGATTATTGCAGACTTGCCAGGCTTGTTGCAAAGGGGCCTATGTGTGCAAAGAGACAGAATGGTTTTCAATAATCACCCAGACATCGAGAACCCACTCTAGTTGTGTGACCTTTGCAAGTTGCTTTACCTCTGTATCTGTATTTCCCCATGTGTAATAATATTGTTTGACCATGCCAGGGCCTCTTTAGAAAATCCACTTTATTCTTTAAATACAAGACAGTGAATTAGTGTCCTTATAGGGCTTTGTACTGTTTAAAATTTAGGTAATATATCTACCCCTGTGGGTGCTGCACCCCTGCACTTTGCTTAACACTCCTTACCTTTTTCTAAGGCAAGACCAAATATAGGAATCTTGTCACAGCATCATTATCCCAACTGAGAAGGAACCAAAGCTTAAAATTCTGCTTCAATAAAGATTTTCCTCCACTGCAACTTTCTAGCACAACACCACGACAAAAATATTGAATCCTGAGTCTTTCAGCTAACCAAGCATCTCCTTTTTTGAGAACATCCTGCATCTACTGTGGGATTTGCTGTGTCCATGGAGAACAAGTTTTTGAAACCAATCACAGTACTGTTTTTAATTCTAATTTTA